CACATGAATCCTTTATTATGTACGAATATATATTTATTAATGTTATTTATTTTGTAATATATAACGAGCTAATATTATATTAAAAACCAAAAGCAGAAACCAATAATAATAAAGCATAAATAATTATTCTTAAGGAACTATATAATTACTTATTAAATAATTAATAAATTTTTAAACAAAACATAATTGATATTTATTAATTATAAATGAATTAACGTTACATTTTATAAAAATATTGTTTTAAATTTATAATAATTATAATATATTTATTATATAAATGTAAAATTGTTTTAGAGTATATCTACTTTTATAAAAAAAACTTAAATATCCAAACATTATTTTATTCTTTATTAGATTATAGTATCAAATATATTTGTTCAAAAATTATATGCATTATCCGATTTTTTTAGAGCAAGAGAGAGAGAAAGGGATTGAGATGGAGTACTTTTTTTATCTTAATTAATTAATTTACTTTATTTATTTTACTTACGTGCAGTCAAGCATTGCGTTATAACTTCCTTGTTTAGTGTTGCATCCTGTACCTTGTCAACCATTTCTAGTATTTTGTCTAAAACTAGCTTCGAGTCTTTCATCTAAAGTTATTAAAAAGAAATGAGACGCACAAAATATATTTTGTATAATATATATAATATTAGGTCATTCAATAAAAACAAGTCAAAGGACATAACAAAATACTGAATAGGTTTACAATAATTATAATAATTATGTTCTTTGGCTCATTTTTATTTGAATGACTTAATACGAGTATATATGTATATAAAAATAAGAAAACTGTAGACCAGAGAAAATTCACGGTTTAATTATATACGATTAAATATATTAATATTTTTGACTAATTGTAAGCTGTAATAAATTATTATAAATATGTAATTTAGTATTTAATATGTATTAGAATGAAAATAATTAAAAAATAATGGCTTCAAAAGGTTTCATTTTATATTTAATATATAGTTGATCTGATTATAATTATTAAAAAAATTTACTGTATGTTGAATTGTTACCATATCTTTTTTCTCAAATATGCATGCTAAGAAGTTTCCGTGTATTGTAAAAGATTCTTTAGTTTCTTCATCGAGCTCTTCATCCTCTTTGATTTCCTTCCACTTCTCTTTCGCAATATCCATTTCCTCTGTTATGGAAAAATATTTTTAATTATGAAAAATAAAGAATATAATATTTTCTATTTTTATTTATATTGTTATATTATATATTATCTCTTTTTTTCTATATTTACGAGAAAAAAATTTGTAAGAATTATATAGTAAAAAAATTTTCAAAATGACTAAGCTACGTCCTTTTTTGTATTAGTGAACTTTAAATACAATATTTTTATTTATGAATATTGTAAATTAATCTTGAATATTAAATTTTAAGTTTTTAATTTCAAATTTTAAATCTAGAACTTTAGATCATATTAAGTTATAAATTATATATTTTTTGTAATTTTTAAAATATAAGTATTTTTCAATTACACACACGCGCGTATGTGCACACACATACATATAATATTGTTGGATATTATGTGTGTAACACTTACCTATAGTTGTCCCAGCTTCACTTAGACATATTCTATCGTTTGCGTATCGGTTTCGAAATTTGTTGCTACATCTTGTATATTTGTTTTTTCGTCTGCAATTACCTAAAATAAGCTCTTTCGTATTATATATTCTTTATTGGCACGCCATTATTGTTGGCAATTATAATAAAAGAATATTACATCAAATTTATAATATAAAACTGTAGGAAAACTGTATCAATAAGAATATAATAACAAAATTATTATTTCAGAAAAATTTTTATTTATTTTATATAATATAGATAAATATTTTATTTTATATTTTTAAAACAAAATTTTACTTAAAATGTTTTAAATGCTTTTATATATTTAAATACTCGATATAATTAAACTATGTGAATTGTTTTATTTAGTTTGTGCTATTTGAACGAAGTTAGAAAACAAAAAGAATAGAAAATACAATAAAAAATAAATAATAATCGCAATAGGGAGATGATAGTTGTACTTACATTAGCGATAAGAGCTAAAACGAAGAAAGCGATTCTTTTTCTTTTTATAGTTTAATGACAGAACAATCAATAACTTGCCCAGAGAGTTAATTCGTGAACTGGACGTGAATGTGTCCATGTGCTCATATTTATATTATCATCCCACATGTCATTCCATTCCATGTGCTCTTACATCATCTGCAAGTGATAATACCTGTATTTGTATATATGTATGTATAGTATACATAATGTGTGCGGATTTGCGGAAGCGCAATTGGTATAATTGGGTGACATATCAGATTTTCATAAGTTTCGATGGCGCCGCGATAACACGTTGCCTCAATTATATCGTAGAGCGCATCAGAATGTGTGACATCGGCGATATTAAAAACAAATAATGTCAAATTTGCGTGTAAAATTAATATTCAGAATTTTTAACGTGAAATATGAGTCGGTATATATGTATGTACAAGTGGAAAATATGCAGGGAAAATATTTTTATGTAATTCATTTTCTATATTTATATATAAAAATAATTCATATTTTATATATTAGTACTTTATATATAAAATAATAGTACAATCAGTCAATTATGTTGATATGAAATATGAATTAATTTTTTTATTCTCTGATTGATTGTAACGAATATTTCATTTCCTTATAAATATTATTTATCAAGTATATGCAATTTATATTTTTATTTTAATATATACACACATATATATTATTATATATTTATTTATTAATAAATATGATATAAATATTTAAATTTATATATATATATATATATATATATATATATAACATTTTTCTAATGTATTAATGTTTTATGTAAAATATATACTTTAAAGTTTAACAAGCAATCGATAACAGAAAGAAAAATATAGCGTAATTTGACGAGATAAATGATAAAAATGATGATAGCAAATTACGATGATGATAAATGATAAAAATAATGACTCCAATTACGACAACAACGATCGCTGGAGGATACGCGGTCTCGTTAGAGCGTGCAATAGATGCATTAAGTCGAGCTTATTTTCATTTGGCTTACTCTGGCTATATTTAATGGCAAATAGCTTCTGAAAAGATGTTTTGCTGACCTTGTACTGTCGGTTTGAAATTGACTGTTTGAATAATAGAATATGACTATGGTTACTGACGTGACATATTGTATATGTACACATACATATATTTATTTTCTTTTTGCGCAGAAATTAAAAGTTGATGTAGAGTATTTTATTTAGCGTGATTTCTTTATAATAGCAATAGTGACACGTTATACAGATCTGTAATTGACACTAGTGTGTTGATTCTATTTATAAAAATTTAATATTAATTTTTAATATATTTTTTGGCACAATTGTCGATGGTGTTAATTTTAGATTATTAAATAATATAAATATTATAAATGATAATAATGATTTACTTATTATTTAGATAAAATTAAAAAAAAATGTTATGTAACGAAGTATAAAATAGTTTTAATTATTTAAATATAATATATTATTATACTCATAATAATTTATAATAAGAATTTGTTAACTGCATATATAAAAAAACTTGTATAAAAATATAATAGTTTAATATTATCATAATTATATTTATGATAATATTAAAATATTATATTTTTTATACAAGTTTTTTTATAACAAATAAAAATATTTTATAATATTAATTTTATAATATTAATTATGTATAGTTATTTTATGTTATACTATTAAAATAAGAAATAGGTCAATTTAACGTTCTAAAGAAAAGATCATATTTTATACATCATATTTTATTGAAACATAGGCATACAATTTAAGTTTAAGAGACCAGAAACCTTTAAAATTCTCGACAATACATTAGTATATAGAAAGTGAGAATTATTAGTATTTAATTATGCGTGGACTTCTCTATAAAGCTATTATTTTATGAATATTACTCATAAGAAGGAATGTAATTTTTTCTTTTTATTCCATTTTATCAAATAGATGTACTACTCCTGTTCCGCATTTTATAGCTTCCAAAGTTTTCTCGTTGTTACTTTCTGAACGTTCATTTGCTGTAATTTGAAATAAAGTAAGTTTCTAAATATAAAGAAAATATACTATTAATTATATGAATATAAAAAATTTTTAAAAATGATTAACTTTAAAATTTACAGCGATTCTGGTAATTAATATATATAATACAATAAATAAAAAAATACAATAATAAAATATAAAATAATATAAATAATAAGATTAGTCAATTATACAAAATATGAATTATTAAGAATATTTCATTTACCTTGGTCGATACACAAGCCAACATACTCTTTCGCATGACGTAACTTGGTTTTATCGGAAATAAGGTTGTTCAATTGTTGAAAACTTTTTCTTTAACAATTAAACCCTGTTCGTCAAGCTGCAATTTATAAATTATATTATTTATTATTATTAACATATTTAAAAAATATATATTTCAAGAATTTATAATTGTAATTTAAAAATTATTTTTATACGATATAAGTTGTATAATATGATGTAAGTTACGCGTTTGTTATCTTTTATATCATGTTATAACGTGAGAAATCATATTCATTTATTATATTGGCACTTTTGCAATAACATTTTGTGCATAAATTATGTATAATATTTTATTCATGCAATAAGTAAATATATATACATACCAGTTCGTACTTTTCCATCATACACAAAACCACATTCGGTGGGTAGTCGCCTAAAATATACAAATTAAAAATTGAACTCAAAACTCAACAAATTCCTATGTTTGCTTATAATATGGCAATTAAATAAATTAAATAAAATAAAATAAATAAATAAAATAATAAATAAAAGTTGTTTAAAAACTTGAATATACAATTATTTATGTATGTAATATTATCTACTTTAATTTTTTGAAATAGAATTTTTGAACAAGTTTGTGTTGTATATTAAATTATTTTAATGTAGTAATATTAATTTGAAGATAATAAGATATTTTTCCTATTTTTATTTTTAAAGAAACATATTGGAAATCTTGTTTTGGAAATTCTTATTGCGTGTGCAATTATTTTAATAATACAAATGTTTAAAAACTGTTAATTTTGTTAGAAATCGAAAATTTTATTTACAATTTATCCAGTAAATATGACATTTTAATTTGTCTCCATTTACATACACATATATACAATACTAATATTTATTAATTATAATATTATCCATAATCACCCTGCGCATTCAATTCCTCGATACATTTTGTGTGGATACTGTTGTATTTCTTCATGTTTTCAAGATTAATCGCATAGGAAATTGTCTGAAAAGTTAAAACATTTTTTCTATTTTAATTCTTATATTTTATTAATATTTTAATTATTTATATTTAATGTATTACTTAATCTGTGTGCGCTTTCTTCTTGACGCCAATAAAGCACTATTATTGTGATTATTAATAATATTTGATATAAGTACATATAATACACATCTATATTTGGTTTACTTAAAAATTGTTCTTTACTTAAAAATGTTTATTTTTTAATTACTTTAAATAAAAAAAATAACATGTTATTACATTAAGTACTTTACTTTTTCTTACTTTATTTATTTATTTATTTTATTAAAAGAAATAATATTTATTGAGCATAAGAATCAGAATCAAGACGTTGTCAATTTTTCTTTTGCGTTATATTTTAAACATGTGTTTAAAAATCTATAAAATAAAAATTATGTATTAAAATATATACTAACAAATTAGAATATAATTATATTACATAATTATATTTTATAAACATTGTATATTTATATTATATAGAATATAAAATATTACAAAATAGTATGACACATAAACTATAATAATATAATATTAATTAAATAAGAGGCAATCAACGAACGTCGAGTAATGAAACGAAATAAAAATAATCCATATATGTTCAATGAAGTAGAATAGAATATCAAAATTTTTAAAGCAAATCAAATTGCTGTTTAGACATAAAGTTATATCCACATTTTAAAATATATTCTACAACTATATGAATTTAAACTTAATGAAAATATATTTAATAAAAATTTTTAAATAACATTTTATTTAAATATGTATATTTGAATTACTTTGTAAAGTTTTTTTCAACATTTTCTTTTTTTATATTATCACGATAATATAAGAGGAGACTTTATATGAAGCTTTAAATAAAAGTATCATGGTGGCGTGTAATTAATTGTAGTATAAATAATGTCAAAATTAATTTAGGAATACAGTAAACGCTAATTTCGAATTTGTTAAAAATTTTTTGTGACTTAAAAAAATAAAATTTCTTATTATATTAATATTATTTCTTTTACTCTATTGTTTTATATGTGGTTCGGAAATGTCTAGTTTGCGTGTTGCTTTCCACTTACCAACATACATGCCACAAATATGAGAGTCTTCATTCTGTCGTTTCTCGAATATTTTGAGATGCACTGTTTCTAATTTTTCCTCGCACTGGTATACATCGATACCTCAACTGCGTATTTATATCAAACCAATATTTGATGATGTAATTGCGCCACATATGCGTTCACAAGCACCGATTTATTATAGGTGATTTACATATAAAAAGGGCAGTTTGATTTAAATGATTTTTTAATCTTATGAATAAATATTTACAAATAGCAATTAAATGAAACAATAAAGAACTGGGATGTTAAAGAATGATACTTATACATTATTTATTTTTTGTAAAAAATGATAGAAGAAGACGGTCTAATATGCATTCTAAGAGTTTTTTTAAATTCTAAGTTCTATTTTTATAGATATATCGAAAATATAGAAAATTAAAGAATACTGAAGATAATACTGAAGAATACTGAAGATTATATGTATAAATATAATTTTTTCAAAATTATATTTTGACTTATTGCTTGTATTGAAAGTAATTGCTCTTGTGTAATTAGTACTGCTCGATAATCAAAATTATGAGCAATTTAAAACTTGGAATCGTATTCAAAAACCTATGAAATATGACTATAATTTTGTTTAAATATTATTTTTTAATAAACTGAGTATAATTAATTTAATTAAAAAATATACTAATTTATTAATTCCAGGTTGACGATAAGGGTGTAACTATGAAAGATAAACTTTTTAAAAATTATGGATATATAATTTCCGATGAGAGCAAATTAAATCAAGCAAAAGAGATCTTTATTAAGTGTGAGGAACAAGGTAAATGAGAGAGAAAGAGAAAGAGAAAGAGAGGGAGAAAATATTCCTATTGTTAATAATTTATATTTTGTACTTGACATATTCTGTTTAAGTTATATTATTTCTTATTATTATTATGTTATTTTTTATTATTATTATTCTTATTTTTATTTTCTTTATTATTATTTCTTTTTATACATATATATGCGCTTTATTTATTTTTATACATTAATATTATGGATAAACTTTAAATTATAAATCATGTTTTTTTTATTATTCTATTATTTTTTTCATAATTAAAAATTATAATTACAAACAAATATTTTGTTCTATGTTATTATTTATATATAGTATATATATATTATAATAATATATATTACAATTATACAGTAATATCTATTTATTAAAATAATATTATTTTCAATAACCTGTTTTATATCAAATTGCAGAAAAACAAGGACCAGGAACTAACGAGGAGAAGCTTTTAAAATTATAACATGCGCAATGCCGACAAAAGACTTAATCGACAAATAAAAGAAAGATCATTTTTTCTTTCACATAATATTCATATAAAATAATAACGATGAAGAGATAAAGTATATATAGTAATGAGATAAGAATACTTTTGATCCTTTCTTTATACTAACGGGTTATTGGGAATTTTACACAAAAATTTTTTTGTCACTTGAATTAACGTGTACCTACTTTATATTATATTTAATAAAATTATAAATTTAAAAAATTATATAATAATTTTTTTGAAACAAAGTTTCGAAAAAGTATAATACTGTTCTAAATTATTACTGCATTGCTTGTAATCACTCAAGAATAAATTCAATATTTTTAACAATAATATCAAACATTTACTCACCCATTTACTCCTCTTAAATAAAATCCGTACTGATTAGTCGCCTGTTAGTTAACTCGCTGAATCTAAAAATAGAAATTAAAAATAGAAATTAGCTACAATTTTTTGACTTACATGGAGTAAGAAACAAAAAAAATAGTATTTAAGTAGTCGTTTGTATTTTAAATCATATAATATATCTACATATCAAAAAGCATTATCATGATAAAAAATTCAGTGTTGTTGCATATTTATTAAAAGATTTTATAAAAAGCCTATGAAGAGTGGTGTCACTTCTAATTTGCGTAAATCTGAAAATCAATATTTCTTACATATTCTGAACCTTGAATTTACTTATATGTTAAATACTTCCGCGTACTTGACAATAAGAATACGCTCATATCCCATGTTTTACTTTTTTTATCTGAATCATAAACATAACAAACAAATGAATAGAAATAAAAAGTAATTAAAACTGTAAAATTAAAATTTGAATTCCTTATTCAAATTAAATGTCCACGTTTCATTACTTTACATAAATTTAAAAAAGGAGTACATTACTGTCATATTGTATATATTTTTTCAAAATTCTATTTCAAATAGGTACCAAACAAATAAGAATATAAGACTTTCATTGTTAATTCATGTTGCATATTGTACAAAGTGTTATAAAAAATTATTTGAAATTGTCGCTTCTTTCTTGCAGAAATCTATCATTCTGGCATAATTAATTCTACCTCAATAAAATTTTCTCGCGACTTTCTATACTATATTATTTTCTTAATCTTATTAAAAATTGCACAGAAACCGCAGGAGCTTAAACATTTACTCACAGAAATATAAAGAGTCAAACAAATCATATATAGTAGGCCAACTGAACGAGCAAATAAATAAGGTGTAAAAATTTTTATTAATAGTTAAATAATTAAATTAACATTCCGTTACAGAATCGATATAAATTGTAAACGTTTCGACTGCACTACAGTCTTTATCAATACATAAAAGTTAAATATTAAAATACAAAGTTAAATGTTAAAAATACAAAGTTAGTTAAATATTAAAATATAAAATTGAAACGATTCTTCGCTGTTGACCAATAGATATGCAAGGCGATTGGTCTGAGATGCCAAGTTATGCGACATTTGAGCATGCTACGGATATAATACGCGAATTAAATCAATGTCAGAGAAAATTAAAAAATCTTTCAACTTACATTATCGTTTTAACAAGTCCTTTTCCCCGATATTTCAAGTGTGTGTTGCGAAGTCTGAATACCAAATGTCAAAATAGAGAGCGTGATGTATTTATTTATTACCAATGTTTTTTCTAAATTATGATTCAGCAAATTTTTTAAGTATGTCAAAATAACTACTGTCTAACAATTCGGTGTCTGTATTTAAATTAATTCCATTTTTCTGTTCTTTAATGTGGATCATTTCAGATATTAGTCTTTTATGGTAGTTTTTTTCGTGATCCATAATTTTAATATTGTCCCAGTCAAATGTATGTTGTTCGTTTAAAATGTGTTCTGTGACAACCGAATGTCTAGCAGAGTCTAGTTTAATATTATTTTTATGTTCTTTAAGTCTCGTTCCTAACTGTCTTTTTGTCTGTCCGACATATGTGGCGTCACAATCGTTGCAATTCAATTTATAAATAACATTAGAATTCGTGGGGCAATTATTTTTGTCCTTTTGAACTTTTATGAAGTCATTCAATTTTTTAATGCAACGATATCCTACCACTACGTCAGGTCTTCTTATTGCTGAAGCAACTTTCTCAGATATTGATTCTATATATGGTATGACAAAATATTTAATGTTAGTATTAGTATTATTGGTATCTGTTATATTGTTATTATTAGGCTTGTCAAATTTCTTAGTTGAGAGATTTTTTAATCTGCGTTTTATTTCTGTGAAAATTAGATCAAGAGGATAACCGTTGGATAGCAAAATGTTAATAGCTTTCTCTATATTTTTTTTGTGAAATTGCGGATGTGATAGTAATAAAGCTCTATCTACCAAGTTATAAATTGTTCCTATTTTATGACAAGTCGGATGATTTGAAAAAAATGAAAGTAATCTACCTGAGAATGTCTTTTTGTGATACCAATCTAAATAAATTTTATTATCTATTACTTTGATCATTATGTCTAAAAAGCTTATACAACGATTATCCTCTTTTTCCAATGTAAATTGTAGTCTATCGTTATAATTGTTGAATTCGTTCAAAACATATGTAATATTGTCAGCGGAAGTGCATAAAATAATGTCGTCTACATAACGGAAATAGAAAGTCATTTCGCAATTTAAATTACTAATTACTAATGTTTCCAAGTCCTGCATGACTATATCGGCAATGATCGGAGAAAGTGGGGAACCCATAGGAGTCCCATAAATTTGTTTGTAAGTTATGTTATTAAAAGTGAAAAATGTAGAAGTTAGTATAAATTTTATCATACCTATGAATTCATTTTGGGAATCTTTGTGTGTGACTCTATAAAATGCCATCTATTATTGATACCGTTTAATGCAAGATCTACGGAAACATTAGTAAATAATGAAACAACGTCCAATGAAACTATTATGTCGGTATCTTGTATTGTTTTCCCTAATAGAATGTTGCATATATCAAAACTGTTATTTACAAAACTGTCCGCTCTAGGAAGGCTATCTTTTAAAATTTTATGAAAGAAAGAAGCAATATTATATAGAGAAGTATTTATTGAGGAAACTATTAATCTAAAAGGAATATTTTCCTTGTGGATCTTGGGGAGCCCATAGGCTTTAGGAAGAAGAGAGTCGCTTGAAAATAAATAATAATATTCTTTTTTGTTGATGAAGTCTTTTTTCAACCATTTGTTTAAACAAATATTGAGTTCTTTTTCTATTTTTGTTGATGGATTGTTTTTAACTATGGTATACGTAGAATCGTCTTCTAGGAGACTCTCAACTTTTTTTATATAAAATTCTTTTTCTAGTGCGACTGTAATGCTGCCTTTATCTGCTCTAGTAAATAAAATATTAGGATTTTGATTGCAGAATTTAATTGTGTCTTTATGCATGTGAAATAATTTTTCGTTGACATTAGTTGAAATAAAATTTAGACGATTTAAATTAGCGTTCACACAATTAACTATATTTTCTACACCTTGAAAAGTCGTTCTCTGCATGACTATCGCAATGTTGTAAGTTTTACGTTTCTTCGCCTTCGGTCCGTTTTCGTTCGTATCCTCCGCAGTTTCGGAAGAAAGATCTTCTTGTTCGTTTTCACGATATGTTATTAGTATGGCTCTAGCACCATATGCGGTAGTGAAATTTATAATTATCTTGTTAAAGATGATCGAGCTCAAATTAATTTTATCACCATTTAAGTAGCTCGACATCGTTTCCATGTTTTCTTGAAATTTTTGCCACGATTCCATGTCGAAGCAAATCCCTGCAGCTCCGTGAGATGTTAATTTAACAGCAGGTAGAAAATCCAGTTCGACGTTGTCTTCCGTCATAAGACCCACTTGAATTTTCTTCGTGTAGGATGAATTCAATCCGTATGTTGTTGACAGCAACATGCGCGGTTGTTGCTCGATTTTCTTAAGATTGTTCATGGTAGTTGCTACCGCGTAGAAAATCAAAGATTTAATAATCAAAGACGCGGAAAAATCGAAAAATCGAGAACTTTTTTACTAACTATCTTTTTACTAACGAACTTGAAAGTCCGGACGATGAAAGACGAGTGAGCGAAGATTTTCAAGAAAATTTATAAGAAGATAAAATAGAAGTGGTAGGGAGAAAAGGCATGCGCAGATAAATAAAAATTATGAGGAAGGGGAATTTTTAAACAATATAAATGATATAATTTTTAATGCGGAAGGGGAATTTTTAAACAATAAAGTAATAGGGAGAAAATGCATGTGTAGTATAATAAAAATTATGTGGGAGAGGAATTTTTTAAACAATATAAACGATATAATTTTTAATGTGGAAGGGGAATTTTTTAAACAATATAAATGATATAATTTTTAAATCTGACTACAGAGAAAATATAAAATTCCTACCGCTATCGAGAAAAGATACCCGAAAATTTCTCATCTTGATTTCCATAAACTTTTTGTAGCTAAGTAAATATCGCCCTAGATTAAATATTTTCTGTATCTAACAATAAGTAAATATTACCATATATATATATATATTTATATATAAAACAAGGGTAAGAATACTCGGGCATGAGAAAAAAGATAAAAAAGATAAAATAAAATAGAGAAAAGATAACTAAAAATTCCTCATCTTGATTTCCATAAACTTTTTGTAATTAAGTAAATATTGCCCTAAATTAAATATTTTCTATATCTAAGTAAATATTAACATATATATAAAACAAGGGTAAGAATACTCGGGTATGAGAAAAAAAGATAAAATAAAATCGAGAAAAGTTACCTGAAAATTCCCCATCTTGATAAAAACGTATAAATACGGCTCTCGGAGTTAAGTTAGTTACATTTTTTCGAATTTCGTCTCTCGCGTACTCACGTATTCGACGCAAGTGTACTATTAAATTTCAAATAATGAGTTTGAAAAAAGTAATTGAAATTTGTCTATCACTAGCGCAGAGTTTATGCGGGAAAAATTTTTCCAGGCATATATATGAATTAGCATGCGCTAGTGAAGACAAATGCTTCAATATTTTTGGAAAATTCGCGGGGGAATGTCCCAGCGCTGTGCTAGCGGTATTATTCCGACTAGGGCATTTTAGTGTTTTTCGCGAATTAGTGATTATCGCGGGTGAGGTGATCGAGTCGCGATACTATTTTGGTGGTGAGAAGGAAAACGACGTAGCAGGCCACATAGAATATCTCCTCCTGCATTTTCATCGAGTTCTGCGGGGAGAAGATAATAATGGTAAGTTTTTATTTTTATTACAGTTAATTATAAATAAATTAATTAAAACTACCCCAATTATTTATTTATTTAATTCGCTAAAACTTTAGCTTTCGTACGCCCTGTCGCACG